GGGGGGGGGGGTGGGACGAAAACTTGGGGGTGAACTTGTAAACTTAAAATGGGACCGACAATGGTTGTAATATTCATTTGCTTTTTAAATAATAAATGAACCAACATTCCAATAAAAAACCAAAGACAAATATTATAGATCAAGGTTTAATAACAATAAATTAAAATGAATATATACAATTAAATTATTTAAAATCATTTTTTACTTAAAGCCGCATCTGAAGCGGTTTAGTAATTTAGAAAAAAATGAAGGTTTACACTGTTTAGGTGCATTGAATACTAGAAAAAAAGATTTATTGTGTCTCGAACAAATGTGTTTTATTACTACAGCGTTTTAATGTCAAACGCGTTAGTGTAATTTTTTATTAGAGGTAAGATCTAACTACTTTAAAAAACTTGAAATGGTCTGGAATTTTAAGAGAATTTCCTGTGCTTTTAAGTCGTTGTTTTTTTTTTTTATAAACATTGACTAAAAGAATACTTCTATTAAAAAAAGAATAATTAAAACTATGTTTTGTAAGTTAATTTGAATATATTCAAAATATCAAACGAAGTAACTTCTAAACTAGGTTTACTATTATCAACTTTATTTCTAATTTAAGTCTAGCTTAATCACATTATGCTTTTGAGCATGATATATTAAAAGTAAACAAGTAATATAAAGTATTTTATAATTAATGTTGCCATAGAGAAAAGGTATTTATAAAGCAGTTTGGTAAAAACAACATAAATATTTAGACTATTTTACACCATCGTGTTTGAAAGTAGCTCAGGGTAAAAGAAATATCAAAAATTTTCATAGTTCATTTGAAACACAGGTTATAAAACTTTTCGTACTAGGTTATTAACAGACAACACTATGTTTCTAGCCATAGGCTTCAAAGTGTTATTTTTTCAATTTTGTTTCCAACCAGACATCTATAAACGAAGTTAGACGCCTATAGAGTCCTTTCATATAACGTCACGTCCTTTCGTGAATGTAAACATCCACAATCTCGGTGCACAGGTCTACATTCAAAATGGTGATCTGTACGGTGAAATGTTGTGATACTCGAAGTGGCAGATCTAAAGGGATTCCTTTATTTCGACTGCCAAGGTTTATATAAAACCAAGATGATAGAGATCGACAGTGAATTAACAAAACGTAGACGCCGTCAATTTTTAGCCAATAGTTATCGCAGCGGTGTGAGTGAAGCAGCGGGCAAATAAGATGCGAATCTGTTCTCGGCACTTTGTTTCAGGTAAGGACAGTAAAATAATAAACTTCATTTTAATTACCTATAAAAGATAACTATAATAAAACAAATATGCTCGACCTTCACAAATACTAATAGTAAAAGACAAAGTCAAAAGTAATAATAAGAATAATAAGATATAATAGTAGGCCTAATAATAGTGTTTTAATATCTAGATCTAGAATCTAGCTCTAAACATGGCGTTAACAAAATTCGGACCACAGATCTAGATTCTGGATTTAGGGTGTATGGCTCCGCTGGGTAGACAGAATCTAGAATCTACTTATTTACTTAAATTTAATTACAAAATTTAGATCTACATTCGATTCTAAATACACCCATAAAAAATCAATAGTAGTCATAATAGGCCTATTAAAGCATTTAATCGTCTCTAAGATCTAAAATCTCGCTCTATAATCTGATAATTTTTTTTAGCAAACGAAATTTTCTGAAAATGAAATAGATTGTATGACTAGACTTTGATCTAAAATCTACTACTTAAATAAATTGTAAAAAGTTTATACAAACATGTAGTTGATATTATTGTAGTAGAAGGCTTTAATAAATTACTAAGGCTTACCTACTGTGTGTCTTTTTATAGCAATATGTATCTGATACTGGACTGAGTTTAATTAAATTTAAATGCATACCTAGTAATTGGTCTACTAAGTTTATGTAGCCATGTAGTAGAATCTAGTTCAAAGCAGCCAACAACAAATAACCACATTATTAGTATTTGGTTAATGATTAGGCTAATTTATTTTTTAAAATCCACTGTTTATAAAAGAAACAAATCAAGCTAGAAACATTATAAGTGAGATGGTATAGAGTAATAACAATGGACCCAGGCTTCAATTGATACAATTGCAGGTCTACATAGGGCCTACATTCTAGTAGTTTACAGTAGGCACTTAGTGTGTAGCTAGTATACTAGTGTGTAGCTTTCCCCTGATAAGCCATGTGTGCTATAAATTACATAACATGACATCGAGGTGAGAAATGTTGTGGGGAGAGCAGTGGGACTTTCCCCTTTGTTCTTCCTGCTGGGCCCTGAGGGTCAAAATTATATAAGAGATCTCTGTGAGGCTGGGTATCACGGAGGTGAGAAATGTTTAGGGAAGGGCAGTGGTACTGGCTCCTCTTTGGTTTTACTGTGGGTTAGAAAAAGGAGGGGGCTGGCCATAATGAGGCCATCATGTTTCCCTAAGAACAATTTTCAACGCAGCAGTTGTTTGAATTTCAATCCATTTTGAGTTCATCCGCAGCTAACGAGCTATTTTTGTCCCTTGTTCTACGTGGGACTTTTCGAGTTATCAACCCCTGACCAGGAAGGTTGAAAAATAAAACCTACGTGTCAAGCCTGCGTCGTTTGGGAAGATTATAGTTCTCACTACTGGCAGCTTCCAACTTTTTTTCTTATCATTTCCCAAACAGATGTTCTCGCCATCTCTCACCATTACACACTTTCCTGTGATCTTAAACGTTTTGGTGTACTATATTTTCTGGAAATCGTAAAATTAAATAAAGGGCATTGCAAACCATTTTTTTTTTACTTTTGTCCAGGTTTTCCAATAGACATTATTACGTAAGGGGGGGGGGGGGGGGAGGGAGAGTGGGAGGGGGCATAAAACGAAAGGAGCACTTAACAACTTTGAAGTTTTCGAAAACCGGTTTTATTATTTATTTATTTTTTAAATAATAAACAAAAAAAAAACATTAAAAAATTAAAATTAATATATATAATTAAATATACTTAAAACCCTTTTTTTTTACTTAAAGCCGCATTTAAAGTGGTTTAGTAATTTAGCAAAAATGAAAGTTTACACTGTTTAGGTGCATTGAATACTAGAAAAAATATTTCTGTGTCTCGAACAAATGTGTTTTATCACTACAGTGTTTTAATGTCAAGCGCGTGAGTGTAATTTTTAATTAGAGGTAAGATGTAACTACTTAAGAAACTTGAAATGGTCTGGAATTTTAAGAAAATTTTCCATGCTTTGAGGTCGTTGCTTTTTTAATAAACATTGACTAATCCTTTTACTACAACAATACTGCTATAAGAAGAAAGAATAATAAAAACAATGTTTTGTAAGTTAATTTAATTATATTCAAAATATCAAACGTGTTAACTTCTAAACTAGGTTTACTATTATCAACTTTATTTCTAACTTAAGTCTAGCTTAATCACATTATGCTTTTGAGCATGATATAATAAACGTAAAAGAGTAATATAAAGTTTGTTTTATAATTCACGTTGCCATAGAGAAAAGTTATTTATAAAGCAGTTTAAAAAAAACCGTAAATATTCAGACTATTTTAAAGGGGAACCACCTAACCATCGTGTTTGAAAGTAGCTCAGGGTAAAAAAAAATATCAGAATATTTTCATAGTTGATTTGAAACACAGGTTATAAAACTTTTCGTACTAAGTTATCAACAAATAACAATATGTTTCTAGCTATAGGCTTTAAAGTGGTTTTCTTTTTCATTTTTTTTTCTAACCAGACATCCATAAACGAAGTTAGACGGCTATGGGAGGTTGTTGCAGACTTTTATTAGCATATACCATAATTTGTAAAGAGGAGGTTAAAAAATGTAACTATAAACAAAGTTGATGTGAATGATAATAATTTGTTAATATACGTAAATGTTGACACAGGTTAGTAAATATATTTTTAAAACAGAAAACAAGACGTTGTTATGAATGATCCCTAAACAATAGGTTATTAAATTGTATTAACAACCAGCTATCGACAAACACGATATGGTTATCCTTGCTTCAAGCAACGAGTTACCAGAATGGTTTTATTATTCATTTTCTATTTAAATAATAAATGAACCAACATTCCATTATTATAGATCAAGAAGGTTTAATAACAATAAATTAAAATTACAATATACAATATACAATTAAAATATATTTAAAACCCTTCTTCACTTAAAGTCGCATCAAAAGCGGTTTAGTAATTTAGCAAAAAATGCTTTGAGGTCGTTGTTATGAAAATAAGAATAAATAAAAATATGTTTTTATAAGTTAATTTGAATATATTCAAAATATGAAACAAAGTAACTCCTAAACTAGGTTTACTATTTTCAAATTTATTTCTAAATTAAGTCTAGCTTAATCACATTATGCTTTTGAGCATGATATAATAAAGTAAAAAAGTAATATAAAGTACTTTATAATTCATGTTGCCATAGAAAAAAGGTATTTATAACAGTTTAAAAAAAAAACAACATAAATATTTAGACTATTTCACACCATCGTGCTTGAAAGTAGCTAAGGGTAAAAAAAAATATCAGAATTAACACAGGTTATAAAACTTTTCGTACTAAGTTATCAACAAACAACACTATGTTTCTAGCCATAGGTTTTAAAAGATGTTTTTTTTGTTTCTTTTTTTTCCAACCAGACTTCCATAAACGAAGTTAAACGCCTACGGGAGGTTGTCGCAAAATGTTTATATCATATACGATAATTTAAAGGGGTTAAAAATGTAACTATAAAACAGTGCATTTCATAAAGTAATTCTAGAAACTAAATTTGAACCGTGTTTTGTCGTTTATTCTAAACAAAGTTTATGTCAATAAAAATGATAATTTGTTAATATACGTAACTGTAGACACAGGTTAGTAAATATATTTTTAAAACAGAAAAAGCTACGTTGTTATGGATGATCCCTAAACCACAGATTATTCAAATGTTTTAACACCCAGATGTCGACCAAACACTATATGGACTGGTTATCCTTGCTTCAAGCAATGAGCTACCAGAACTTGAGCAGTTTAAAACACTCCCTCCGGAAGTTGACGTCACACAGGTTGTAGATGACCGGATTGGCTGCCGTGTTGAGCAAGTATGACCTCAGCAACAAGTGACACAGTGACTCGGCCACAGGACTGAGACGATTGAAACTGTCAGGGGCGGCAAACTTGTAGAACAGCACCGCCAGAAAGGGGAGGAAACTCAGAATAAAGACCATGGTTATCGAAGCTAGCATCACCGTAGTGCGGTTGCTTTTTCTCACACTAATGGTAGAGTCTTGGGATTCACTGCGACCTCTCTTTAAAATTGAACTTTTCTTTCGCATTCTATATGAATTTTGTCTTTTATTAATTTGTTTATTCGGTGCCGAATGGATTCTGTAAGAAGAATTTGATGCGTACTTATCACATGAATTGGTAGTCTCGTCTAGTTTAGGTCGTGTATTAGTAAATACTTCGTCTTTTAGGTCCGTACACTTGCACGTATCCAAGCTGCTCGTTGCATTAGAGGTTTCGGTCTTAGCGTCCTGTGCGCACACACTTTCTTTGGTTACCTCCTCCGTTAATTTCGATACGTTTTCCCTGACTTCACTTGAACTGGTCATTGAGTAGCTCTTAGACGCTACGGAACTAATCCTGAGACTCTTATGGTGCCTGGCTTTGACACCTATAAGGATGTACAGGACAACTAAAGGGAAGCAGACTAAAATAAACAGCAGAATGAAAAACGCAGCGTTGACCATTGGCCATTTTGTTTTTAAGTAAGCGTCTTGGTAGCCGCACTGGAAACCATAGATACCGTCTTTGGACGTCTTCACTGTTTTGACGCCGTTCATGATAGCTGTGGGGACGGAGAATAAAAGGGACAGAACTGCGAGAACGATACACGCCACTTTGGCATTAGTTACTGTTACTTGTCTTCCAAAAGGTTGGCATATTTTTCTATACCTGAAAGACAATTATTTAAAAACTGTTTTTAAAATTCAGAAGATAAGGTACAGGGTCTAATTAATAAAAACAAATGATCGGGAAAATAATTTAGTATCTGAAGAAAAAATCTATTTCGAATTTTTAGAAATAACGTTTATATTTACATTGTTCATTCTGACAAAGACTACTGTTCTATAATTTCAAACTATATTTTATTTCATGGTAAATTTATAAGCTTGTTTTTAATACGTATGTATAAAATATGAACCTTCATAATTTAACCGGTATTTATTTCTGCACAAAAATATTTCATATGTAGGTGTATGTACTATGATCGTGTACATGTATGTAAGGTTGACGTGGGTCCAATGTGAGTTACCTGGTCACACATATGGCCAGTAGTGCCAGGGCCGAGGCTATGGTATTGCAGGTGTACAGGTAATGTCTTGCCCTACAGAGAGCGGGTCTGTTGAATGTCCAGTAGTCAAACATGTCGTAGATGTCCTCTGTGCAGACGATACAAAAGACATACACACGTTTCTTAATTCAACGAATGACACAACAATCTATTATGTATATATTTAACTAATTGTAAAAGTTGCTCATTTTATCATGGTGTTGCTTGAATAGCTGCTCTTGGTCAATACTATTGTGATGACGTCGTTTAAAAATTTTCGTTTTGCTATCTAGACTATCCGGACAGAGTGGTCTAGTGTAGAGAGAGAGAGAGAGAGACTGCTAACACGTAAGTCTAGAGTTCAAATCTGGGTTCAAGTCAGAAGGCGGTCCTTAAGTCTACCCAACTCTGATGTTAGGGAAAGTAAAGGCCGATGGGGCAAAGTGCTGACGACACTATCTCTTTATATGCCTTGTTTCACAGAAACAAGTGAACTCTACTTTACTTGCCCTATAGACCGTCAGGTTTGAAAATAGAACTTTACTTTTACTAAGAGTAGTATGTCTCATTACCTAATATGCACATGTAACTATTAACGTAAATCGACTGAAGTAAAAACTCTGGTTGTTAAATAAAACATGCACTGACCCTCCCATCATTACCTCAACTGCAGAAAATCCTACATGGAAAACAGAGGTCTCCAAATATACTAGAAACATGTATTACATTATTATTGCAACCAGCAAACACAGCATTAAATTATCAAAAGAATATTTGTCAATAAATCAAAATTAGAGCTACACCGTCGCATAGAACAATGTTACCCTCAGGCACCCCCCACTCCTACATCACACCCTTATTATACCTCCCACCTATCTATCAGTAACATCTAAAACGACGTATAAAACACTAGTCAGTTAATCAAACTTGAAACAAATCTTCCAAATATAAAATTGCCCCCCCCCCCCATACCTACCTGTCAGTAACATCTAAAACGACGTATAAACCACTAGTCAGTTAATCAAACTTGAACTAAAACTTCCAAATATAAAATTGCCCCCACCCCCCACCTTCTCCCAGTGACATAACTTGCACAACAAAAACGGTAGTCAGAAAATCGAAACTGGATAAATGCCCCCACCTTGATCCCTACCCCCGGGATATTATACCCAACGCAACACACTCCTAATTAACTAACCTGGCACGACAAAAACGTTGGTCAGCAAATCGAAACTGGACAATGTCAGGATAAAAATCCTATTCGGACTCGACGTTCGCTTCCTCCAGTACAAGATCAGCACCAGAGAATTCCCCACAGCGCCAAGAACGGCAATCCCTACCATAAACACAATGGCTGGTATCATGATGCTTATCGTTCCTAGATCTAGTTTCTTGAGGTAACTATTTATAAACTCTTCGGAGTAGTTAGAGCTAAGCAGAGACATATTACCGCTGTCTTTGATGGATGATGTTGTCATTTTGCTACAAGTCCTGCAATGTTACTGTACAAAGGTATTAATCTAAGAAATAGCACATACACACATCCAATCAAAGAAAATTTAAAATAGTTATATGTCAAATAGTTTATAACGGTCAGTCTCTTTCTGTGCTGAAATCAAAGTAGGCATACACTATCAAAACAGTCTACGATAATCAACCACTAATCATTATAACACGGATTAAAAAAAATGTAATGTAAACTAAACTAAGTTATCAAACAAAACAATTAATTTCGCGTGCACAAATCCAAGCAAAGGAAAACTACTATTAACTAAACCACTAGCTACTTAATTGTTCAGCAAGCTTCAAGTTTCTAATAAAATGACAAACGCAAAACCTCATCGGAAGGATTTCCGGTAAGAGAGACAGCAAGTGTGTGTGACATCCGTGAGGTCTTCATTTCACCGTCTAATCCATCCAGTCATGTTTGCTCTGAAACTATCACAGTAAGATACGAACGTATGATGTATAGACTAAAACAACATCCGTTTTACCCAATGTCGAAGTGCGCGAATATTAATGTTTAAAAAGATGTAATAACAAGTTTTATGATAATAATGCACTAAAAAGTGGAAAATCAGTTATTGTTATAATTATATGATAATGCACGTTTATTTAAACAATTATAAATAAAAACGTGGGTTACTTCATACATTTTAGTAAAAGTGTACATTAAAAAATAAAGTGAAAAAAAAATCGCGATTTGCCGGGAAGCCACCCCTGTGAAACCTCCCTAGAAATATTCTCAACAACTTCCCAAAGTTTCATGGCGATGTGATGAGAGGTATAGTAATGCATAAAAGACAGACAGACAAACAAACAAACTGACACACACACATACATAGCTTTATATAAATAAATAATATATATATATATATATATATATATATATATATATATATATATATATATATATATATATATATATATATATATATATATATATATATATTTATATATATATATATATATATATATATATATATATATATATATATATATATATATATATATATATATATATATATATATATATATATATATATATATAATCTGGCTAATGGCGTTTTGTAGGCAGGAGTTGGCAGTGTTGGTAGGTGCTGGTTGAGGTTTGTCGAGAGCTGCTGTAGGTTGGATTTCATTTTGTTGAAATAACTGCCGGGAGACTCGTGGTGCTCAACCGTACGCTACTGCCAGTTCACCGTAGACTATCCTTATAGTGTTTTAGTCATTGTTTGTTATAAATCAACTATCTCTAGTGCAGTGTATAGTTAAAAAAGAATGTAGACGCTACATGTGTGAACATTGAGCCTACCGGTTGATATGAAAGTTGTGGATCTCCTGGTGCAGTTTGGAGAATAGAATGTAGTAGTACTCGCGTGAAAGACAGCGAACAGAGCGATGCTGTTATAGCCGCCACAAGCTCCACTACAAACATCGTACACTACTTCCTGGTCACAGTCTTTCGGATATTTAATTCTTTGTATGACTTCCCTCGAGATTGTTCAACAACTTACCTAAGTTGATTGGCGATTGTAAAAAAGGTGTAGTAATGTATTGTAGACAAAATAGTACACAGCCATAACCTTAGTTACATATATATAGATATATCTATATATCTATATATATATATATATATATATATATATATATATATATATATATATATATATATATATATATATATATATATATATATATAGATATATATATATATATATATATATATTTATATATATATATATATATATATATATATATAATAACAATACCATCATATATATATATATATATATATATATATATATATATATATATATATATATATATATATATATATATATATATAGAGAGAGAGAGAGAGAGAGAGAGAGAGAGAGAGAGAGATGATTCTAAAAGGGTTGAAAAGGGCGGGGGGTTGACGGATATATCTTTCATGCTATCTCAGTGTAGCACATTATTTTGTTTACCCGATATGTTATCTGTAAGACGAATCAGATACTTTTTCTCTACATTTTTAGCGCTGTCCCTAGATGTCAGATTAGAATTGTGACATCGTCAACATAGACTGTACATGGAACTTTCGTAGAATAAGTACTTGTTACATAAACAACATTAGTCTTCTTCGTCTTCTGTATTCAGAATTAAAACTTATCGTAATACTGAAATGGGATTTATTCCAATTGTATAGGCCAGGGGTCTCCAAACTTTTTAGTCCGAGGGCAGCATTAACTATCAAATTTTAGTTCGGGGGCCAGTTTCTTACATGCATGTCTTTGATTTTTATGGGCAAAGTTCCTAAGCCATCACCAACTAACGATTTTTCTTGGACAAAAGGATCTACGCGGGCCGGATGAGAGGACTTCGCGGGCCGCATCCGGCCCGCGGGCCGTAGTTTGGAGACCCCTGGTATAGGTAGTAAACTACAACATGTTATACGATATTCAGTACGTTTATGTTCTTTCTAAATTTTATTATTTAGCGTATGTCCACCTAAGAACAATCTTCAACACATCAGTTGTTTGATTTTCAATCCACGATGGGTTATTATCCGCAGCTAACGAGCTTTGTCTGCCCCTATTTTAATATTTTTAACGCGAAATTCTTCGAGTTACCGTCCCGTAACCAGGAAGTTTAAAGAATAAAACCTACGTGTCACTGGGAAGATTAAAGCTCTCACTATTGGTAGCTTCCAAACTTTTTTCTTATCATTTTATTAACACATTTTCTCGCTATCTCTCGCCATTACGCACTTTTCTGTGCACTTACATTTTTGCAAATCTCGACGTCTTAGGACTCCCTGAGTCGGAAAAACATAGTTTTGCAATCTTGTCCGTATGTCTATGTGTGTCTGTCTGTGTGTGTGTGTGTGTGTAATCATGATAACTTGAGTACCGTTAAAGCTAGGTTGATGAAATTTCAAATATAAGTATTTTATCAAAATCGTAGATCCATATCAACTTTTGAGCGATTTCCGATAGACGGAAGTGGTACTTTTTCTACTTTGAATTTTTCAAAAGCCAATAACTCGAGTACTATTTCAGATAGATAAATGAAATTTCAAATGTAAGTAAAAGTTCTAATTCTCTGACTTCTTTTAAATTTTGAGTAACTTTCGTCTACCGGAAGTAGTGATTTACGCTTTTTCCGATTTCTCAAAAAAAATTCATGTGAATTTATAAAGTACTAATAATATCCCGCACTATTATGCAAATTTTTATTTTGCATTCATTTTTTGTGCAATACTTATTTTACGAGATCCTATTCTATTATAAAAAGTTTAAGTAATTAAAAATGGATTTAAAATAGTGTCTATGTCTCGAGTTGCCATCCCCCGAAGTGTTATATTAGAATATTCGAGAAAGTTTAGGGGAGATCACTCCAGGTTTATTTAGGGTGCGATATTTTCTGGAAACTGTAAAATTTAATATGGGGTATTGCAAACCTTTTTTTTTAACTTTTGACAAGGTTTTCCTATAATCATTATTACGGGGAAGAAGCGGATAGGGGGGGGGGGGGGGAACTTCAGGGTGAACCTGTAAACTTAAAATGGGACCGACAATGGTTTTATTTTTCATTTTCAATTTAAATAATAAATGACCCAACATTCCATGAAAAAACAAAAGACAAATATTATAGATCAAGAAGGTTTAATAGCAATAAATTAAAATTACAATTATAATGTACAATAAAAAAATATTTAAAACACTTTTTCAATTAAAGCCGCATCTAAAGTGGTTTAGTAATTTAGCAAAAATAAAACTTTACACTGTTTAGGTGCATTGAATACTAGAAAAATATTTCTGTGTCTCGAACAAATGTGTTGTATTACTATGCGTTTTAATGTCAAACGCGTGAGGGTATTTTTAATTATAGGTAAGAAGTAACTACATCTACTTAAGAAACTTGAAATGGTCTGGAATTTTAAGAAAATTTTTCATGCTTTGAGGTTGGTTTTTTTTTTATGAACGTTGACTAATTCTTTTTACTATAACAATACTGCTAACAGAAGAAAGAATAATAAAAAAAATATGTTTTATAAGTTAATTTTAATATATTTAAAATATCAAAAGAAGTAACTTCAAATTCTAGGTTTACTATTAATAAATTTATTTCTAACTTTAGTCTAGCTTAATCCCTTTGTGCTTTATTTTATAATGCATATTGCAAAAGGGAAAATGTATTTATAAAGCAGTTTGAAAAAAAAACATAAATATTTAGACTATTTAACAGGGTAACCACCTAATCATCGTGTTTGAAACTAGCTCAGGGTAAAAAAAAATATTAGAATATTTTCATAGTTCATTTGAAACACAGGTTATAAAACTTTTCGTACTAAGTTATCAACAAACAACAGTATGTTTATAACCATAGGCTTCAAAGTGTTTTTTTTTTCAATTTTTTTCTAACCAGACATTCATAAACGAAGTTAGACGCCGATGGGAGGTTGTCACAAACTTTTTTATATCACATACGATAATTTGGAAAAAAAGGGGTTAAAAATGTGACTATAAAACTATGCATTTCATTAAGTAATTCTAGAAACTAAATTTCAACCGTTCTTTGTCGTTTCTTCTAAACAAAGTTTATGTGAATGATAACTGTCGACACAGGTTAGTAAATATATTTTTAAAACAGAAAAGACTACGTTGTTTATGGATGATCCCTAAACCATAGGTTATTAAATTGTATTAACACCCAGCTGTCGACAAACACGACGTGGTTAACTTTGCTGCAAGCAATGAGTTACCAAAACTTGAGCAGTTTAAAACATTCCCTCCGGAAGTTGACGTCACACAGGTTGTAGATAACCGGATTTGCTGCCGTGTTGAGCAGGTATGACCTCAGCAACAAGTGACACAGTGACTCGACCTCAGGACTGAGACGATTGAAACTCTCAGGGGCGGCAAACTTGTAGAACAACACGGCCAGAAAGGGGAGAAAACTCAAGATAAAGACCATGGTTATTGAAGCTAGCATCACCGTTGTGCGGTTGCTCTTTCTCACACTAATGGTAGAGTCTTGGGATTGACTGCGACCTCTCTTGAAAATTGAACTTTTCTTTCGCATTCTATATGAATTTTGTCCTTTATTAATTTTTTTATTCGGTGCCGACTGGATTCTGTAAGAAGAATTTGGTGCGTACTTATCATTGGAATTGGTAGTCTCGTCTTGTTTAGGTCGTGTATAAGTAAATACTTCATCGTCTACGTCCGTACACTTGCACGTATCCAAGCTGCTCGTTGCAACAGAGGTATCGGTCTTAGCGTCCTCTGCGCACACACTTTCATTGGTTACTTCCTCCGTTAATTTTGATACGTTTTCCATGACTTCACTAGAACTGGTCCTTGAGTAGCTTCTGGACGCTACGGAACTAATCCTGAGACTCTTATGGTGCCTGGCTTTGACACCTATAAGGATGTACAGGACAACTAGAGGGATGCAGACTAAAATAAACAGTAGAATAAAAAACGCAGCGTTGACCATCGGCCATTTTGTTTTTAAGTAAGCGTCTTGGTAGCCGCACTGGTAACCATAGATACCGTCTTTGTACGTCTTCACTGTTTTGACGCCGTTCATGATAGCTGAGGGGACGGAGAATAAAAGAGACAGAACTGTCAGAACTAAACATGCAATTTTGGCATGAGTTACCGTTACTTGTATCCCAAAAGGTCTGCATATTTTTCTATACCTGAAAGACAATGATTAAAAACTGTTTTTAAAACACAGAAGGTAAGATAGTTGGTCTAATTAATAAAAAAATGATCGGGACAATAATTTAGTATTGAAAGAAAAATCTATTTCGAATTTAAAAAAAAAATTATAATTGTTTATATTTAAATAGTTCATTCTGACAAAGACTACTGTTCTATAAATTATATGTAAGTTATATTTTATTTCGTGGTAAATTTATAAGCTAGTTTTTTAATACTTGTGTACAAAATACGAACGCACATAATTCAACCGGTATTATTTCTGCAGAAAATTAATTAATATATACGTGGTATGTAAAATAATTGCGTAAACGTATGCCAGTAGGACTTTGGTCAAATTCGACTTACCTAGTAACACATATGGCCAGCAGTGCCAGGGCCGAGGCGATGGTATTGCAGGTGTACAGGTAATGTCTGACCTTACAGAGAGCGGGTCTGTTGAATGTCCAGTAGTCAAACATATCGTAGATGTCCTCTGTGCAGACGATACAAAAGACATAAACCGGTTTCTTAAACTTACGACACAACAAATTATTATTTATATATTTGGCTAATTGTAATAGTTGCTAATTTAATCATGTTGATGCTTGAATAGCCGCCCTTGGTCAATACTATTGTTATGACGGCATTCTAAAATTTTCGTTTTGCTACCAAGAGTATCGGGACAGTGGTCTAGTGTAGAGAGAGAGAGACTGCTAACACGTAAGTCTAGAGTTCAAATCCGGGTTCAAGTCAGAAGGCGGTCCTTAAGTCTACCCAACTCTGATGATAGGGAAAGTAAAGACCACTGGGGCATAGTGCTGATCACACTTTCTTTTTATATGCCGAGGTCACAGAATCAAGTGATCTCTAATTTACTTGCCTTATAGACCGTCAGGGTTGAAAATGGAACTTTATTTTTACCAAGAGTATCATGTTTCATTACCTAATACGAACATGTAAATATTAACGTACATCGACTGAATTAAAAAAACACGGGTTGTTAAACAAAATATGCAAACTGATTCTCCTTTCATTCCCGCTACTGCATAAAATCCTACATGGAAAACAACGGTCTCCAATAATCCTAGAGACATGTATCGCATTATAATTGCACCCGTCAAACACCGCATAAAACTATCAACAGAATATTGGTCACTAAATCAAAACTAGAGCTAAACCGTCACATAGAACTATGTTCATCTCACGCCCCCCCCCCCTCCCACCCCTACAAAACCCCCTATTGTATCCCTCACCTCCATGTCAGTAACATGTAAAACGACGTAGCCAATAGTCAGTTAATCAAACTTTGACTCAAACTTCCAAATATAAACATGCCGCACATCTTACCCCCACCCCCACCTTCTCTCAGTGACTTAATTTGCACAACGAAAACGTTGGTCAGCAAATCGAAATTAAATGACCCCCCCCCCCCCCCACACACACACCTTCTGCCCTACCCCCGAGATATTATCTCCCACCCAACGCACCTCTAATTAACTAACATGGCACAACAAAACAATATTTTGTCAGCATATCAAAACTGAATGTATACCACCACCTAGAGCCCTACCCCCGGGATATAATCCCCCACCCAATACACCCCTAATTAACTAATACGGCAGTACAAAAACGTTGGTCAGCAAATCGAAACTTTATAAATACCACCACCTTCCTCCCCACACCTAGTGCCCTACCCCGAGATGTTATCCACCACCCATCACACCCCTGACTAACTAACCTCGCACAACAAAATCGTTGGTCAGGAAATCGAAACTTGATAAAATACCCCTCCCCCACCAGAGCCCTACCCCCGGGATGTTACCCCTCCCCACCCATCACACGCCTAATTAACTAACATGACACAACAAAAACGTTGGTCAGCAAATCGAAACTTGATAAATTACCCATTCCCAAACTTAAAGGCCTACCCCCGGGATGTTACCCCCCCCTCCCCCACACCAAACACACCCCTAATTAACTAACCTGGCACAACAAAAACGTTGGTCAGCAAATCAAAACTGGACAATGTCAGGATAAAAATCCTATTCGGACTCGACGTCCGTTTCCTCCAGTACAAGAACAGCACCAGAGAATTCCCCACAGCGCCAAGAACGGCAATCCCTATCAGAAACACAATGGCTGGTATCATGATGTTTATCGTTCTTAGATCTAGTTCCTTGAGGTAACTATTTATAAACTCTTCGGAGTAGTTTGAGCTCAGCAGAGACATATTACCGCTGTCTTGGATGGATGATGTTGTCATTTTGCTACAATTCCTGCAATGTTATAGGACAAAGTTATTAAACAAAGAAATTGAACATACACACATCCAATCAAAGAAAAAACGTAAATCCTGCAATTTCACATAGTAATTTGTTTATAACAGCCAATATATTATTTTTCTGAATTCAAAGTTTACTTTTCATGAATAAAGTAACAGTTACTCTATCAAAACAGTCTATGTAAATCTAACGCTAATCAATATAACACGGTTTAAAGCAACTTAATGTAAACTAAACTAAGTCACGAAACAAAGATATTAATTTCGCATACACAAATCCCGCTAAATAGAAAACTGCTATTAGCTTAAACACTAGCTACTTAGTTGTTCATCCGGCTTCAAGTTTCAAATAGGATAACATAAATGCGAAACCTCATTAGAAGGATTTCCGGTGAGAGTAACAGCAAGTGCGTGCGACATCCGTATGCTAGCTTATTCTGCTTTAAGTGACGTCTTGGTTTCACTGTCTAATCTATCCAGCCATATTTTTTCTGAAATTATCACAGTAGGATACGAACTTGGGATGTATAAATAGACTAAAACGACATGCGTTTGTCAAATGGTGCGAGAATTCTTTTTTTTAAAGTTGTAATTACAAGTTTTAATATAATAATGCACTAAAATGTAGAAAATCTTTATGTTAATGCACGTTTATCTAAATAACTATAAATAAAAGCTTTTTACTAAAACGTTTTTTAATACTTTTAAAATTTTTATATAATAGAACATCACGAATAAATCAATTGCTCCTAAAAGCAGGGGTCTCAAAACTTTTCAGCCCGAGGGCCGCATTTACTGTAAAATAGCAGTTCAGGGGCGGCAACACACTCGAGGTCCAAGTTTGTTGTCAAATTGTTCTTCAAATTTTTCATTCTTGAAAATGTTTGTTCACACAGGTATGTTGTTCCGAAAATTGAAAGTTACCTTGATGCAAAATTGTTGACATTAGGAAAGTCTTTCATGGGTAAAACATTGTAAAAATCAACCGGTCATTCTTTTAACTTGTCCCTTAGGTGGTCATTTTCTTGCAACTCAATGACCCCCAGCTGGACTTCATCTAAAAACCTTTATCTGAAAACAATTTATTCAGAAAACCGCTGCTGAAACTGCGGCTGGAGGTATTTGATTCTCTCGCATGCAAATGACGTGGGAAACCCAGCTGTTGTTTCAGCCATGTAGATGTTGCAATGCATGAAAGTTCGTCGAGACAAGTTTGGATCTGAAGCCCTTTAGATAGGTGTACAGCCTATATTTCTTTCCTTATATTGTAATATGGTAAATCGTGCGATTCTATGTCTGTATCTCTCCTCTATTAACAGTCAGGTAACTGACGTTAGTCTAGGCCAATTAATAATCAGCAAATGTTTTTTTTAACTAATTGAATATATCATCTCCGGTAACAGTGCCTTATATACTATGTAAGGAAGCCAGCTCTTGTGTAATGTTCATGTCTTCATACCCACCTCAAATGAACATAAGCAGTTGAGAGGTGGAACAGCTGTCCAGCGATTCATCCATTGCAATTGAAAAATGGCGAAACTTGCTTGCATCTGTCGCTATTTAAGTCACAATGTTTTCACCAATGTCAGCAGCACGGCGGGCAATGGTATCTGCACCTAAAGCTACATTTTCATATTGTTTTGACTTTTCTGGACAAATCTCCTCAACCACCTCCAGCAAAAAATTTTGTTTTCGTGGACAAAAAAAAAAACTCCACGGTTTGGATGAAAAGGCCCTGCGGGCCGTAGCTTGGAGACCCCTGCCTTAAAGGAACACAAACAATGTGTTTAGAATAGCGAGGAAAATATACTTAATTAAGCGCCCAATTAAGTCAATTGCAGTGTCATCAGATCTTGACCCACGTACCAAGTTTGAAAAAAAATTGTCCGTTTGAAGTGGTCGAAATTTTGCTCGCTAAATTCGACCCATTACGTATAAAACACGACAAACATAGCATTAAACACGCGGAAGCAGTTTAAAAATAGCCTTTAAAAATGATATGTAGTATCAAAGATAACGAGTATAGTATATGCAGGGAATTTTAAAGAATATGATAAAAAAAAAACTTGCTTGCTGAGAGAAAGAATGTCAAAATATTTTGCAAATATTTTTAAAGTGAATGTCAAACGATGATGTAATATAGGCGTGTCTTGAAATGGAATGTCAAAATATGCTAAAATATATACGTGTCTTTTAAAGAAGTGTTAAAATATGCTGAAATAAACACCTGGCTTTAAAAGGGAATGCCAGATATGTTGAAATAAACATATGTCTTTAAAAAGAAAATGTGAAAATATGCTGTAAAAGTTGTGTGCAATGAGAAATAAACCGGGAGTGATCTCCCCTAAACTTTCTCGAATATTCCTGTATAAAAAACAACGGGATGGGAACTCGAGATATAGACATGGATTTTAATCCATTTTAAATACTTAAACTTTTTAAAATAGAATAAAATCTCGTAGAAAAAATAATTAAACACCAGTGAACGCCAAATAAAATGTGCATAATAGTGTGGAATATTACTAGTACTTTATAAATTTACATTACTTCTTTTGAGAAATCGGAAATAGCGTAAATTAGTACTTCCGGTCAACGGAAATTACACAAAATTTAAAAGATGGTAGAGAATTAGATCTTTTACTTAAGAGTGAAATTTTATTTATCTATCTGAAATATTACTCAAGTTATAGGATTTTGAAAAATTCAAAGTAAAAATGTACCACTTCCGGTTGTTAGAAAACGCTCAAAACTTGATACGGATCTACGATTTTGATAAAATACTCAAGTTATCGTGTTTACAGACAAACAGACATACACACAGACATACGGACAAAATTGCAAAATTATGTTTTTCGTATCAGTGAGGTGTAAAACGTCGAGATTTGCAAAAATCTCGATTTTTTTTTGCACGAAAACAAGACTTTCTCTATACTTCATATATACGAGAAAGTAAAAAGAACATAATGTGCTAAAATATGGAAAGGCTAAAGACCGAATGTAATAATTTTCTGACATATATGTTAAAAAAATACATTTTAGTGTTTTATAGTATTACGTTATTCTTCTTTTTTCCAAAACAATAAAGTATTAAGTGTCAACATGTTATAGGCCATATACAATCTTGGCTCTGATTTCAGCTTGTTGTGTTTTTCTTTCTGAATTCGCTTCTATAGCCTTTGTCTATTCAAGAAAAAACACACTCCAAGACAAGAAATGCTGGATTTGGAAGTTGTGTCTGTTAAACGAGTCCCTGTCCGTTGGTTTGAACTTAGGACTGTATGGTTTATTAGCAATGAGCTCAACCGACCCGACCATGTCGACCCCAATATCACCACGTCTTTAAAGTATATAGGATGGCGTGGCCAAGCGGTATAGAGCTAGACTACAACGGGAAAGCCTAAGGCGTCAAATCAAACCCTGCAGGTGCACCGGGTGACGAGCCTGGTTGGATAAAGTCAGCGATTATTGTTGCCCATCATGTCTTTAGTGTATAGCCTTTTTTTTTAAATGAACGTAGGTGCCATAGTGCTCGCAGGGGAGCCCGGGGCGCTTCGTGTCGTGCAATCGCGGAATTAATGTAACATGGCCGCTCTGGTGTCAGACCGCGTTCGACCTTTATTTTTTATATACCATACATAGAGAAAAATCGTACCCTACCGTGGCGCCGCCCTTGCGAAATTGAAAAAGATTTTTTTTTTCAGAACCCTTCCCTGCAGTGTTCTAATCAACTCCCCAAAGTTTCATGGCAATCGGATGAACAGTGTCAAACCGCAATCAAATTTTATTTTCATATACAGTATATAGATAAAAAGCAAATCGCGACTAACCGGGGCGCCAACCCTGCGAAACCTCCCCAGAAATATTCTAAACAACTTCCCAACGTTTCACCGCGATGTGATGAGAGGTGTAGTAATTCTTAAAAGACAGACAGACAAACAAACAAACAAACAAACAGACACACATACATAGCTATATATATATATATATATATATATATATATATATATATATATATATATATATATATATATATATATATATATATATATATATACAGAGAGAGAGAGAGAGAGAGAGAGAGACGGCGAGAGATGATTTTAAAATGGTTGAAAAGGGCGGGGGGTTGACGGAAATAGCTCTTATGCTATCTCTGTGTAGCACACTATTTTGTTTACCCTATATGTTATCTGTACGACGAATCAGATACTTTTTTCTCTAAATTTTTTAGCGCTGTCCCTAGATGTCAGATTAGAATTGTGACATCGTCAAAATAGACTGTACTTGAAACTTTCGTAGAAAAAGTACTTGTAACATAATCAACGTTCGTCTTCTTCGTATACTTTATTCAGAATTGTACAACTGAATGGGATTTCTTCCAATTGTATAAGCTGTAAGCTACAACATGATATACGATATTAAGCACGTTTGTGTTCTCTCTAAATTTGATTTCTTAGCGTATGTCCACCTAAGAACAATCTTCATGACATGTGTTGTTTGATTTTCAATCCAAGATGGGCTACTGTCCGCAGCTAACAAGATTTGTCTGCCCCTAGTTCAACGCGGGACTTTTCAAGTTTTTAGCGTCCTCTCACCAGGAAGTTTAAAGAATAAAACCTACGTGTCACGCCTGTGGCGTTTGGGAAGTTTAAAGATCTCACTTATGGTAACTTCAAAATTTCAGAGGCTCTTGAAAACTTAGAAGGGGGCGGACACTGGTTGATTTATTCATTTTCTATTTAAGTAATAAACAAACAAACAAAAACCAAACCAAATGTTATAGATCAGGAAGATTTATTAAAATAAATTATAATTAAAAAATATACAATTTGAATATATTAAAAACTTGTTTTTACTTAAAGCCGTATCAAAGGCGCTTTAGTAATTTAGCATAAATGAAAGTTTACATGGTTTAGGTTGATCAAACTATATTTTGTATTAAGTTTATTTCTAACTTAAGTCTAGCTTAATCCCTTTATGCTTTTTAGAATGATATAAAAAGGTGAAAGAGTAATAAAAAAAGTATTTTATAATTCATGCTGACATATAGAAAAGCTATTTATAAAGAAGTTTAAAAAAATAGACTTTTTACAGGGTAACCACCTAACCATCGTGCTTGAAAATAGCTCACGGTAAAAACATATATCAGAACGTATTTATAGTTGATTTGAGACACAAGTTATAAAACTCTTTCGTACTAAGTTATCAACAAACAACAATGTTTCTAGCCACATGCTTCAAATCGTTTTCAATTTTTGTCTTACTGGTCATCCATAAACGAAGTTAGACGCCAATGGGAGGTTGTCGCATACTTTTATTATAATTTTCGACTATTTGGAAAGAGGATGGAGGGGGGTGTTAGAAACTGTGACTATAAAGATTTGCATTTTATAAAAGTAATGCTAGAGACTGAATTTTAACCGTTCTTGCGTGTGTCTTCTAAACAAAGTAGATCTGCATAATTGGTTAATACACTTAAATGTTGAGACAGCTTAGTAAATATATTTTTTAAAACAGAAAAAGCTACGTTGTTTATGGATGATCCCTAAACCACAGGTTATTAAATTGTATTAACACCCAGCTGTCGACAAACACGATATGGTTATCCTTGCTGCTAGCAATGAGCTACCAGAACTTGAGCAGTTTGAAACATTCCCTCCGGAAGTTGACGTCACACAGGTTGTAGATGACCGGATTGGCCGCCGTGTTGAGCAGGTATGACCTCAGCAACAAGTGACACAGTGACTCGACCTCAGGACTGAGACGATTGAAACTTTCAGGGGCGGCAAACTTGTAGAACAATACGGCCAGAAAGGGGAGGAAACTCAAGATAAAGACTATGGTTATCGAAGCTAGCATCACCGTTGTGCGGTTGCTCTTTCTCACACTTATGGTAGAGACTTGCGATTCACTGCGACCTCTGTTTAAAATTGAACTTTTCTTTCGCATTCTATATGAATTTTGTTCTTTATTATTTTTTTTATTCGGAGCCGACTGGATTCTGAAAGACGAATTTTCTGCGTACTTATCACTTGACATGGTAGTCTCGTCTTGTTTAGGTCGTGTATAAGTAAATACTTCATCGTGTACGTCCGTAGTCTTGTACGTATCCAAGCTGCTCGTTGCAACGGAGATTTCGGCCTTAGCGTCCTCTGCGCACACACTTTCATTGTTTACTTCCTCCGTTAATTTTGATACGGTTTCCCTGACTTCACTAGAACTGGTCATTGAGTAGCTTCTAGACGCCACGGAACTGATCCTGAAACTCTTATGGTGCCTGGCTTTTACACCTATAAGGATGTACAGGACAACTAGAGGAGTGCAGACTAAAATAAACAGCAGAATAAAAAATGCAGCGTTGATCATCGGCCATTTTGTTTTTAAGTATACGTCTTGGTAGCCGCACTGGTAACCATAGATACCTTCGTGTGGTGTCTTCGATGTTTTGACGCCGTTCATGATTGCAGTGGGAACGGAGAATAAAAGGGACAGAAATGTGAGGACGATACACGCCACTACGGCATGAGTTACCGTTACTTGTCTTCCAAAAGGTCTGCATATTTTTCTATACCTGAAGAAAGACAATGATTAAAGTTTTCAAAACACAGAAGGTAAGGTAACGGGTCTAATTAATAAAAAAAAAAGATCGGGAAAATTTTTATAATTTAAATTTTAAAAATCTATCTCAAATAAAAACAAATTATAATTGTTTGTATTTTAATTGTACATTCTAGCAATGACTCTGTCCTTTAAATGTATGTTTTTTTCATGCTATATTTCTAATCAGTTTTTTTAATTCGTGTGTTTAGAGTTTGAAAGCCTATAATTTAACTGGTATGCGTCTTAGTACTTAACTAATCTAAATGATTATATATGTACTATGAATATGTACACGTATGTCAGTTTGACTGGGGTAAAATGTTACTTACCTGGTCACACATATGGCCAGTAGTGCCAGGGACGAGGCTATGGTATTGCAGGTGTACAGGTAATGTCTGGCCCTACAGAGATCGGGTCTGTTGAATGTCCAGTAGTCAAACATATCGTAGATGTCTTCTGTACCCACGACGAAAAAAAACAATTTCTATTACAACAAAATAAGCAACTATTTTAACAATTAACAAAATATACTAATAGCTATTTATTACATTGTTTGCTGGAGTGGCTGCCCCTGTTCAATATTATTGTAATGGCGGTAGTTTGAAAAACGTGCAAATATCACCTCGAATATCATGTCTTAATGATTTCAATATCTGACCTTTGACTGAACGAACTGTATTATAAAAAACCCTGGTCGTTAAATAAATTCTGCAAGGTAGTTCACTCTTCAATTCCCCCCCCCCCCCAAGTCCACTCACCCTACATGAAGAAATAATTGTCCCTCAATGATATTAGAAAAATGTATCCCATGTATACTTACATCACAACTACACAGCCTAACCTAGTAAAACTAAAATATTGTCAAGTAAATGATTACTGGACGAAAACCCTCACCTAGACATCTCTACTTGATTCACTGACACCAGAACACCCCTACTTCTCAACCCCTCCCTTCCCCCCGTCTCTATCTCTCTCTCTCTCCCTCAGAAAAAGAATCGCTGGTTAGTAAATCATATATGGATTAAGACCTCTATCCCGAACTATTTCAACCTGTTATCTCACTTCTTGCCCCCACCTTCCATGTGACTTACCTGGTACAACACAAAACGTTGGTCAGCAAATCGAAACTGGATAAATACCCCTCCCCCACCTAGAGCTCTACCTCCGGGATGTTACTCCCACCCACCCAACACACCCCTAATTAACTAACCTGGCACGACGAAAACGTTGGTCAGCAAATCGAAACTGGACAATGTCAGGATAAAAATCCTATTCGGACTCGACGTCCTTTTCCTCCAGTACAAGATCAGCACCAGAGAATTCCCCACAGCGCCAAGAACGGCAATCCCTACCATAAACACAATGGCTGGTATCATGATGCTTATCGTTCTTAGATCTAGTTCCTTGAGGTAACTATTTATAAACTCTTCCGTGTAGTTTGAGCTTAACAGAGACATATTACTGCTGTCTTCGTTGGATGATGTTGTCATTTTGCTACAAGTCCTGCAATGTCTAAAACTTTATAACGGCAAGTCTTTTCTTTGCTTCATTCAAAGTATACTTTTTATGAAAAAAGTAACATAGTTCCTCTATAAAACAGTCTTTGATAATCTACTGCTAATCAATATAGCACTGTTCAAAGCAATTTAAAGTAAATTGGACAAAGTTATTAAATAAAGAATCGAATTACACATACGAAAATTCCAAATAAAGAAAAAAAACATAAATCCTGCAGTTTCAAATAGTTATATGCCTAATAGTTTATAGAGGCCAGTCTTTTTCTTTGCTGAATTCAAAGTATACTTTTCATGAATAAAGTAATAAAGTTGCTCTATCAAAACAGTCTATAATCATATAACACGGTTTAAAGCAATTTAATGTAAACTAAACTAGGTCGCGAAACAAAGATATTAATTTCGCATACACAAATCCTATTAAAGAAAAAAGAAAACTACTAATAGTTTATCCACTAGCTACTTAGTTGTTCAGCCGGGTCCAAGTTTCAAATAAAATAAAATGAACGCAAAACCTCATCGGAAGGATTTCCGGTGAGAAGGATAGCAAGTGCGTGCGACATCCGCATAACATCTTTATCTGCTATGTGTGGCGTATTTGTTAAGTCTAATCTATGTAGCCATATTTCCTCCGAAACTGTAACAATAAGAAAAGAAAGTGGGATATAAAAAAAGTTAAAACATCATGTGATTAAATACGGACCCGCCTAAAAACAGAACTCTATTCTTCGTCTTCGTTCTTAAGTGTTATATAAGAGGGGATTTCCTCTAACACCATTAAGTATAGCTTCACATACTACATTGAGTTAGATTTCGGCCACCAACAATCAACGTTACAATGCATGGTTAGTTTTTATCAACAATATAGATAAAGGAGAAACAGGAGCCATGATCATGAAGGAGACAAGTTAGGCGTTTGACGCCATTGAGAAGTAGACGTAGATATGTTGGAAGGAGGAGACCGTATGTTAGAAGAAGGTTTGGTAAACGTAGTTTTCGTCGTCGAAGAATCGTTTTAAATCAAGTTGTTAACATTCGATTCGTTGCTGCTGAAGTCGGTGTGACTGCTAATGCTGATCAGGAAATTAAGTTTTCTGTCAATGCTGTTCCTCGTGAATTGGCTACTGATCCAATAACTAAACCAGCGTGGGCTAATTACATTTAAAGTGTTTGATCCGTTTAGAACACATTGTGTTGTTCAACAGGTCTACACCACTAACAATGTTTTGTATTTTAAACCAGGTGAAACTTTGGCTAGATTGTACTATACCTATGATCCTGATAATGCTAATAGGACATCAAATTACTATACTATATCAGCTTTAATAACAGCCGGATGATTTTTTTTCTCGAGGAAAAGTGGTCAGTTTTAAATTCAGACCTAAATTTTTGCAGAAGTATGCTAACGCATTATCTGTATTATGACGCAATACTTGGCTAGATACAGGAACAGCTACGGTACAAAGTCTAAATAATAAAAGTGAATTATAAAAAATATTCTATATGAAGAAAAGTATATTTTCAGTAAACAACAATATTTGTATTTTAATTGTTAATTCTGACGAAATCTACTGTTCTTAGTTCTATAAATAAAATGTATGTTTTATTTCATGTTAAATTTCTAAACTAGCTTTTCAATACATTTGTAAAGTATATGAAAGCACATAATTTAACTTGTATGTATTGATGTACTAAACTAACCAATTTGTATGTATATGTACTATGATTGTCTAAATGGTGCGCGAACCTTTGACCACAGGTGCTTTGACCATAGGGGGTTTGACCATAGGGGGTTTGACCACAGCGGGACTTTGACCATAGGGGCTTTGACCATAGGGGGTTTGACCACAGCGGAGCTTTGACCATAAGGGGTTTGACCACAGTGGGGCTTTGGCCATAGCGGTGCTTTGACCATAGGGGGTTTGATCATAGGGGGTTTGACCATAGGGGGTTTGACCACAGATGTTTTCTCAGCAGAGGGTCTTTGATCTCAGGTGGTTTGTCCAAAGCTGTCTATGTATGGCAAGGATTTATTTTAACAGTTGCAAAATTATATTTTAAATTGCGACAAAATGTAATAACATGTTAAATCATCATGTGTAAATACAAGTGTTGTATCATTTTTTATCCTTTATATATGCTATGTATTTTCAAGTACATCTACATTATGTATTTGTACAACGTGTTATATGTCGCATTATTTGTGTTCCATTTATATGAGGCCTAGCACCAGCCTTTATGTGGAGACTAAAATAAAGTTCTTGACTTTTTTGTAATACATGTTAATTTCTATTTACGTACTCTCAGGAAACATGTATAACATCGTATTAATTGTGTCATAAATTTAAATCAAACACCATTTAAAAATTTTTATTTTAAAATCTATATATAATGGTTAGCCCCCCTCTGTGGTCAAAGCACCGTTGTGGTCAAAACCCCTATGGTCAAATCCCCTATGGTCAAAGCACCTGTTGTCAAAGCACCTAGGACCGTCTAATTTATATCAGGTTGACTGGGGTCAAATGTTACTTACCTGGTCACACATATGGCCAGCAGTGCCAGTGACGAGGCGATGGTATTGCAGGTGTACAGGTAATGTCTGGCCCTACAGAGAGCGGGTCTGTTGAACGTCCAGTAGTCAAACATATCGTAGATGTCCTCTGTATGCACGAGAAAAAGACATAAGGCCTAAATCAATTTCTGAATCGGACGACAGAATAAGCAATTGTTATTTATATTAAACTAATTGTATTAGTTGGTTTTATCATGATTTTTCTTGAGTAACTGCTCCTGGTCGATGCTTTAGTGATATAGGTATTTTTAAAAAACTTGTTTTGCTACTAAGAGTATCATGTCTAATCGATTGGTTTAAATCCTAATATGCAAATATGTGGGACGGAGTGGTCTAGCGGTAGAGAGCTGAACTACTAACCGTAAGTCTCGAGTTCGAATCCGAGTTCAAGACAGTAGACCGTCCCTGCGTCCACCCAACTCAGATGGGTACCTAACTCACGTTAGGGAAAGTAAAGGCGGCTGAGGCATAGTGCTGACCACACTATCTCTTCATATGCTGATGTCACAGAAACAAGTGAACTCTACTACACTTGCCCCATAGACCGTCAGGTTTGAAAGGGAAACTTTACTTTTTTACTTTCTCGTATATACGAAGTATAGAGAAAGTCTTGTAATCGTGCAAAAAAAATCGAGATTTTTACAAATCTCGACGTTTTACATCTAACTGATACGGAAAAACATAATTTTGCAATCTTGTCCGTATGTCTGTGTGTCTGTCTGTGTGTCTGTCTGTCTGTGTGTGTGTAAACACGATTACTTGAGTACCGTTACAGCTAGATTGCTGAAATTTCATATATAAGTATTTTATCAAAATCGTAGATCCGTATCAACTTTTGAGCGATTTCCGATAACCGGAAGTGGTACTTTTTCTACTTTGAATTTTTCAAAAGCCTATAACTTGAGTACTATTTGAGATAGATAAATGAAATTTGATATGTAAGTAAAAGATCTAATTCTCTACCTTATGTCTAATTTTGAGTAATTTCCGTTGACCGGAAGTACCTATTTACGCTATTTCCGATTTCTCAAAAAACGCATGTAAATTTATAAAGTACTAATAATATTGCGCACTATTATGCACATCTTTATTTAGCGTTCACTTGATGTGCAATTCTTTTTTCTTCGAGATTATATTCTATTTTAAAAAGTTTGAGTATTTAAAATGGATTAAAAATTATGTCTAGAAGTCTATATCCCGAGTTGCCATCCCCCGTAGTGTTATAGTAGAATATTCGAGAAAGTTTAGGGGAGATCACTCCCGGTTAATTTTTACCTAATATGCAAATGTAACTATTTACGTTCATTGCCTAAGTTAACTGCATGATACAAAAACAACACTGGCCGTTAAAAAAATCTTCAATCTCACTATATCTTCCACCATTCTAAACTACTCGACTCATTCTCCATGAAAAAACCAAGGGTCCATCAAAAACAGTAGAAAAATCTCCTAGTTACTTACCTGATACAACAAAAAAAAGTTGGTCAGACAATCCTAATTGAATAACTACACCCATCTAGATCCCAACCCCCGGGATCTAAACCCTGACACATCACCCTGTAACTAACTAACCTGGCACGACAAAAACGTTGGTCAGCAAATCGAAACTGGACAATGTCAGGATAAAAATCCTATTCGGTCTCGACGTCCGTTTCCTCCAGTACAAGATCAGCACCAGAGAATTCCCCACAGCACCAAGAACGGCAATCCCTACCAGAAACACAATGGCTGGTATCATGATGTTTATTGTTTCTATGTTTAGTTCCTTGAGGTAACTATTTATAAACTCTTCGGAGTAGTTTGAGCTTAACAGAGACATATTACTGTCTTGGATGGATGATATTGTCACTTTGCTACAAGTCCTGCAATGTCAAACAATTATTTGTCTAATAGTTTGTAACATGCAGTCACACTTTTTCTTTGCTGTATTCAAAGTATACTTTGTATTAATAGACTAACAGGGGTGCTATTTAAAACATTATATGATAATATAAAGTAATCAATATAACACTGTTCAAAGCAATTATAATAAACTGAAAAAAAATAGCAAAAAAAGAATCTAATGCACATTCACAAATCTCAACAAAGAAAAAAATACTGTTAGCTAAACTATTAGTTACTTAGCTGCTCAGCCCAATCCAAGTTTCAATCTAAATCAAGGAAATCTAAATCACAAAATCTCATGAGAAGGAAGTATGTACAACATCCGTATGCTAGCTTTATCTGCTTTGTGTAACATCTTTGTTAACTGTCTTATCTATGCAGCCAGATGTCTATGAAACTCCCACAATAAGTAAAGAACATCGGATGTATGAACCCAATCACACGACATGTATTCAACCAATTATCAAAATTCGCAAAAAAAGTTAAAAATTAGTATAATAAAAGCGTTTTAATAGCATTTTTAATATAATAGTGCACTAAAAGTAAAAATGAAATGATTGTTTATACATATATAATAATGGACATTTATTTAAATAACTATAAATAAAAGCATGGTTCAAAATGTTTATACAATAAAACAACACGACAAATAACAATGGCGCACCAAAGGAACAAGTAAGATTACACATTGCATTGTCATCGGAACTTTGACCAAGTGTCAAGTTCAAAAGAAATTTATCCGTTTGAAGTGGTCGAAATTTCGCTCTGAAGTTTCGACCCATGACGGACGATACGCCACTGACAGACAAAAGCATTAATCATGAGGAAGCTATTTAAATATGTAGTATTAAAGATCGCGAGTACAATATATGGAGGGAATTTCAAAACATGATAAAACATACTTGTTGCTATAGAAAGAATGTCAGAATATGCTTTAACATAGGCTTTTTTTAAGGGAATGTTTTTAAATTGAATGTCAAACTAAGCTGAAATACATGCGTGACTTTAAAGGGAATGTAAACATTGTTTTTATTGTTAGCGTGTCTTTAACAGGAGCGTCTAAAAAAATTCATAAAAAACGTTTTGATAACAAGCTTTTATGTAATAATGCACTATAAATTATACACTACTATTTAAATTACTATAAAGAAACGAGTGGGGCACTTTTTTATCTATTATATACCTTTGGACACAATTTTTATTAATTCATAAAACTTAATCAGTCAACAAATTAAGTCAAATTTAATGTCATATTGCATTGTCTTCATGTCTGGACCACGTGTAAACGTTAAAACACATCTGTCAGTTAGAAGTGTCCGAAATTTCGCTCGGGCGTTTCGATCTAGACAGACTGACGACAGACTGACGACAGAACGAAAGAGACAGTGAGTTAAATAAAAGCTTGTACAATTTTTTTCATAAAAAACGTTTTAATAACAAGCTGTTATGTAATAATGCACTAAAAAGGAGAAAATAAATTATACACTACTATTTAAATTACTATAGAGAAAAGCGTGGGTCACTTTACATTAGTATATATTGGAAACCTTTACTAATATTTAGGAAGAGACCCACGCTTTTCTTTATAGTTATTTAAATATTAGTGTATAATTTATTTTTTCCATTTAAGTGCATTAGTACATAAAAGCTTGTTATTAAAACGTTTTTATGAAAAACATTTTCAGTACTTTACATGTTTTATTTACAGTAGAGTTACATGGCTAAAAACCCTTGCGCACCTATTGAACGTAATGACGCGTGTCTTTAAGTGCGGAATAGTTTGATGAGACAGCCTACTAATTTTGACACAATTTTAAAACGACTCATAAAAAATTAATCAGGCAACAAATTAAGTCAAATTTAATGTCATGTTGCATTGTCTGGACCCACGTGCCAACGTTGAAACAAATTTGTGAGTGAGCTAGAAGTGTCCGAAATTTCGCTCGGGCGTTTCTATCTAGAAAGACATACAGATTGACGAGGAAGTGAGTTAAATAAAAGCTTGTAAAAATGCTGAAATATACACCTAGCTTCAAAGGGAATTCAAATACGCTGAAATATACACGTGTCTTTAAAGGAAAAGTCGAAATATGCAGTAATAATGGTGTTTCGTTAGAAGTAAAAACATATTGTGCTAAAATATGGACACGGCTAAAGACCAAATACATTCAATTGTTTCATATTATTACGTTGTTCTTCTTTCATCCATAACATTGAAGTATTTCGTGTCAACATTTTGTGCGCCATATGGAACGCTGGGTCCAATTTCAGCCGGCTTTTCTTCAGGCAAGAATTGCTTGATTTTGGAGTTGTGTCTGTTAAACGAGTCGCTGTCCGTGGGTTTGAACTTGGGATTGTATGGTTTAGCAGCAATGAACTCAACCGACCCGATCACGCTGGCCACAATATCGCCTCGTCTTCAAAGTGTATACGACGGCGTGGCCAAGTGGTAGAGAGTAGACAGCTAACCCAAAAGTCTAAAGTCAATAGAATGTCCCAGAGTCCACCCAGCTCTGACTCACGTTAGGGAAAATAAAGGCGGCTGGGCATAGTTCTGACCCTTCGTATCTAGAGCTCACGGAAACAGATTGACTCTACTTCATCAGCCTCTTGGGCGATAAGATGATGATTCAAAGTGTAATTATTTTGTCTAATCATGACCGGAATACAGATGTGAAATGCCGAAACAAAGAAAACATATAAAAACCATGAAAACATCTTCACCTCAAAGAATACAAATCTACTTCTAAAATAGCCTTGCTCGAAAGCGATCACGCACGGACAAAGAAAACCTAATAAAGCAATCGTGCTTTCTGTTTCCTTCTCAGATACAAGATGTTTCCTGTATTCAAAATTCGTTAGCTTTGTGTTTAATCTTGTTTTTAGATCAGATGTTAATGTTTGCACTGTCTGACTTATGGAGACATCTTGAATCTATTTTTAGAGTAGGTTTATAATGCACTTTGCCATAAGGAGGATTTTTATTGTTTAGACAAAATCAAATTGGTCATGTCGAAATTACCAAATTAAAAGTTGTTAAATATATAGAAGACTAACGTTGATAGAGTATAAAAGCGTTTAAGTGAGTTTCAGTCTCATGAAAAAAGATGTTAAAATATTAATTTCATCGGCTGTATCGAACATACTAATGATTATATAAAACACAGTACACATTTATTTAATCTGTTTGCTTCGGAAAACTAATGATTTACAAGCAATGTTATGTGTGCTGTTTGTAGGTGTGTGGTGTTATGACAAGTGGTAAGTATTATTCACGCATGTTTTTATTGTCGAATCGTGTAATCCAATTCATATTTATTTATGTTAGAACTTTTGTAGATAAGTTCATTTACGATGACAGTGCAAGAGTATTTAGATTTAATTAGAAAATGGGTCATTAAAATTAATTAAATATTTAACTAACGAAAATCAATGGGGCAATAAGTAATTGAGAAATGAGTGTGGATGTTGGCCTAAAGGTGAGTACAATTTGTAGAAAGGAGCTGGGCGCTAATTAAGGGCAGTTAATACTCGTCATGTATCATATGTTTTATAACGATTATTCATACAATACCCGAGTTATTAACAATAAAACAAAGAAAACATTAATATTAAATATTTTTTATTCTAGAATTATTAAAAATAACAGATTAAAAAATTTCATTCATTATAATAAAAAAAAAATCGATGGTCCCCTGAGAAACATACTAACGAGCAGGTTTTAAATTTTTTTTATTAGTGAAATAATGTGTTGATTTCTAATTGGTATAGTATTCGAGCGGTTATTTATAACGGCTATGTAAGTGTTTTATTCTGCAATGTACTTTTCATTGATAACTATCTAGTAAATGTGATAATCTTAGAAAAGAGCAAATACGATTTAGCGTATTATCTACAGAACAATAACACAGAGAGTTTGAAAGTGGATGCAGTCTTTTTTGCACATCACTGATAGCCGTCAATATGTTAAGTGGTATTTCCAGGACACTGTACACAGTTCTGCGCATGTCTATATATAAGATACAAAGGGGGGCGTTACTTTCACAAAGCTATGTCGCATGACTGCCCAGTTTTCCCCCCCTTGTGTATTATATCTAACTATATGGACACGGCCTAATTAATTTAGATCTTTCTAGATGTGTATCATTCTCCGGAGCTTGCAAATCATCATCCCAGTTAAATAAGAAGTTAAGAAATATTTTTGACACCTTCATATCTTATTGAAAAAGTACAATTTAATAAACTTTTGAGTCTTGTTTTAATTGCTTCAACGTTCTTGAGTCCACCCATCTCTGATGGGTACCTAACTGACGTTAAGGAAAGGCGTGTGGGCATAGTAGTGAACTCACTATCCCTTCATACACCGAGGTCTCTGAAGCAGATAAACTCTACTTCACCTGCCTCGCGTGTCTTGGGCAACAACGATAAATGCTGAAGATGATTTAATGCTGCGGCTGAAGCTTTTGTATGAGAGAACGGTACATTAATATTTGTTGCGACTGTTTTTTTTGTGTGTTCCAGACAGAACATGATCCCAGACAATGTCCGGTACTTTTATTTGATCTCATCTTTACACTTTACACACACGTCCTATTCCCTGGCTGCTGGTAACCAGTCCCTTACAATTGTTCACTCCGGCTTTTATACCCGCATTCGACCTTGTGATAACCATATATAAACACCCCGGGGTTAACTCAACTCACAAACAAAATCTCCTCTAAGTTCTAGACTATTCTAACCTATTCTAACCAAACTTCCAAAAGACCTGTAACAATATCCTTCTTCTAGATCATGTTCCAAAGTTCTAAACAATTATTATGACAAATTATTACAGTGGATGAAAGACACAATCATTTTCATTTTGTAACTATTTCTAATTCTGAAATAAAATTGTTTATTTGATTTAAGCTTAGATGCCCAGATAAGAAGTTAAAA